TATATATATATATATATGACTTGGGTTTAAAGGAGTCATTTTTGTGACTGTCAAACTAATCATGCGTCTCATTTTACGAGACGGTGTTCGACTAACAATATAGTATAAGGAAAAAATATTTTTAAAGTTGTGGTATAAAACAAGTCATATATATTATTTAGGATAAAATTGTTAAATTATTTCTAAATATTTATCCATCTTTTTGAAACAGAAAAGGAGGAGGTACTAATAATCAAATAATATTTGGTTTGGTTGAAATGAGAGAGAATTATGTCCACCAATTCCCTTTTTTTCTTTTTCTTTTTGGGCTGGAGAAAGCATGACGGCTGTCCCATATTCTTTGTTTAGCGTAGGGGATATCCTGAAGCGTAAATGATTCAAAAGCCAAAAGCTTATGTCAAATGAATCATGTTTTTTAGTAGATCTAACGTGTATGCCACTATTACTTGAACATTAGTACTACTAATTAATTTATAATACCCATTTAGACGGTTTCTTTCATAGCTTACATTCTGAAATTCAGACGATTCCCTGACGGCAAGCAATCTTCATGTCCAGGGGATTCCTAGTATACCTCTCTTCCTTATTTGCTTAGACAAACTATATGAAGAAGCTTTACATGTCTTTAAAATGTCCGGCAATGTCAATCTCTGCGCAAAGGTCCGGATCCCATGCAAAACTGGTTATCATTTTGTTCTCATAAACCAAAGATAAAGAAGGAACTCAGTCAACTCACACAAGCCAAAATTGTATTACATAAAACTATTACTATAGACTTTATAAGTCTCAAATGCAACAACTAACCAGAATAACAACGAGAATAAACAAGGTTTAGTATCACCGATAAATTATAGTAATAAATCTAGACGAGATGCCTTCAAGGACAATTTGAAATTCCTCAAATCCCCAATACTTACTAACTACCAACAAAATGTTGCCTCGATGCTGAACCAGCATGCGAAGTACTATGCTGTTGAAGATGCTTCACCAGAGCATTCTGGCATCACTTCACTTCCCAGCCACTCCAGATAATGTGCCATTTACATATGCAATATGCATGTAACTCATGTGTATCATAATGCGATACACAACCTTGTTGAACCTCTCCAATTTCATTTAAGTGCCAAATGAGTATCATTATTTTGTGAGACAGCAATAACTGAGATGCAAATGGATTATGTTTCAAAAGGGAAGGAGTTCACAAGAATTACTGTACATGCAGTTTAACTATGTTGAGCATCATCACAGTTAGTTGGAACATAATCTGTAGTCAACAATCAGGATGCTGCGCTGCTCTTTCAGCAAGAACTTTCCTCTCCCCAATCACAACCACCTGCTACAAAATTTACTTTATGTAAAAATCTCAAGTTTGCTGAATCCTCACTCAACTTCAGCAAAACATGCATAAAAGCATTAAGTAGCTGACCTGCTGTTTGGCAAAGGGTGATCATGTTAGTCCCGCTAATATTGCTGTATTTGTAAATAATAATTCTGCAAAATATAAGTTATCGTAATGAAACAGTAATTAATTCGAGCCCACTGAATTCACAGTGTTTCCTTAAGGAATTTAATCCCCTCCTAGTACCCAAGGTAATGGATTATTTCCTCCCAGGATAGAACGAATCACACACTGGTGTAGCGGTACTTCAAACCCCAATGTTTCAGCGAACACAAAGTTCGGTAGCAAATCACACTTACAGTTGC